TCAGTTCTTGTGGTGGGAGCATGGAAAATCTTTGCTGATATTTACCGTTGATTCCCTTTCCTGGTTCTTGATACTTTGAGTATATAGAACAGGTGTTGTCCTATTCCCATCGAGAATGGGCAGGCTGCCTGCTGGTCTACCTGGTCTCTGTAAAACTACCAAGTACTTTACATAAGAGCAGCAGAGAAAGTGTTATTTTATTTCACTTTTTATTTTATTCCTCATACATTAGGACAGCAGCATCAAAAAAGATAGTGTGATTTAAAAAAACCGTATGTCCACCCCTCACATCATTCCAGTGCATGAATGGTGATATTCTGTTGTATCGCCTTGAGGTTTTTATATAAAATAACACAATAATATGCCTGCAGAAGGCGCCCCTATTGAATTCCCCTCTCTTTCCCCTCCCATGATGGCTCCCATGATGCATGGCTTTTGACTGTACCTATGTCATAAATATACATAAGAATAAAAGGCAGTTACTGTAATTCTTGTCAAAGAGGGAATGGAGAAACAAACTGTGATGTATCTATATGGTAAGTCACTTCCTGGTTTTCAAAATTTCATAATTTTTCTTTTGTTTACAATTTAAATACAGTTAATTTCTGTCTGTTTTTTAAATTAATGGATCTGAACTGAATATCAAGATTGATAAAAAAATAGTTACCCAAGGAGCCAACTGTACGTGATGTGTTCAGTGGGGTCATGTTCACAAATAGCTTTTAAAATTCAAAACACTGCAATTTTTGTGGCATCATAAAATTAAATCTAGTAAAAAGTGCAGATGAGACCTGCGTTGTGGTTCCTCAGGGAGAGAAAAGAATTAGGATTGTGAAAATACGTGATTCAGGCTCTTCAAGTATATCTATTAAATGTGGTAATAAAAACAATTTGTTATGATGTGTGTGACTTTGATAATGTTGACTGGTGGCTACCAAGCTCTTCATTGCTTTCTTTGTACTTTTGTTCCTCTCAAATAATTCATAAAAAAATTATTACATCTATGCAGGATTAAAAAATGTTAAAAATATCTCATGGTAGACTTTCATCATACATGTTTTCCCCCAATAGGTTTTCATTATTTGTGTTCATTCCTGTATCTATTTATTTTTATTAGTTGACTCATCTAAACTGCTGTGCAGTTCATCTTCTGTCCCTGCCAGATGAATAATGATACCACCAATGTTTCCTTAATTCCCTTTTTGCATGATTAAGGTTCCCAGCTGGGCTTGCAGCTCATAATGTCTTCCTTGAAATTTGCAGCTGTCACAGTTGGGATGTTCTTTTTGATTGTTTTCTTCCACTTGCTGAGCCCACTGCTTTCTTCTGATGAGTGAAACATGCCAGAAGCTCCTGTTCATGGCAGAAAAGGAGAACCACGATAGGAAATGTCAGGGTGGGGGTGCCCTGTGCTGACTGCCATGCTGGATGTGTTTCTATTCATTGCTCATCATTGTAACATCCCCATAAGGTCTGATGAGGGTTCCTGTTACACAAGTGAGGACACGAGGCCTCTGCAGAGACAATGTTCCCAGTTCACAAAGCAAGTGCTGGTCTGGACTGAAATCACTGTTTGATTTCACGTAATCCTCCAAATGATAAGGGCTGTCGTGGTCACTGCAGGCTCCCCAGGAGAGGTAGGACCACGGCTTCACAGAGACCATCCTGTAGGTCCCTCAATTAGCTTGTAAATAAGCATGTATTTCTGCATTATCTTGTCTCCATCTTCAAGGACCTACAGATTGTTCTTATTTTCATAGATGCCAATACAATTCATTCTTTCTCAGATTTAACTGTTTTTCTTAATGACATGACTCTATCACCTTAGGGGAAGATATCTTAGTAGGGTGTGACCGAGAATCTCACCGACACAGTGTCTGCTTCCTGTAGAATGAACCACTACGGCAGACGAGGACCGTTTCAACTGGGGCATCTTATGAGCTTCAGGTTGATGGGCAGCATTTCTTCTCTTTGCCAGGAGCAGAGCATATACTTGGATGGATGCCTTGACCTGCTACATGCTACTTCATGGGTAGCGGTAGACATGCCTTGCAGGAACAGGAAAAGATTTTGGGCATTGCTCAGAATTAAAATTTTAAAAATGTTAAACGAAATTGTGAGATCTTTATAAAGGCTGGTTCTGTGTCATCAGGGGTATTAAGAGAGACTGTTCAAGAGAGTCAACTCAGCAGACAGGTGGTCTAGACTGAGACCCAGTCTTTGCTGTGCACCAACTGTACTTCCTGTCTGTGACCTAGCCTCAAATTACCCAAGTGTCCTCATGGGTAAATGGGATCGTAGCATGTATCAATGCTTCTGTAATGTGACCAGTCCTTCTGATGATTCTGAGAAATGCCACATATTGGGTACCATTGTTCTAGATGCAGATTTCATTGACATTATTCTTGTCCTTCTGTTTGTTTGAAGGCATGGGATGTTTCTAAAGGAAATGCCATGTCTTATTCTTGGTGTCAGTCTCAGCACTTGGCACAATGTGTAATATGGATTTGGTGATCTCTAAAATTTTGGGTCAGTAATGGGAAGACAGGAAAGAAATAGTGTGAGAGATGGTGATGGAGGGAGAAATTAGCAGAGGGACTGATCTGAATATCCATCTGGGTTCACAATATACATAGAGGGTACTGTTTGTTTTGATTTAAGCACTGATTTTCAAATATTAGCATGTTTCAAATTTATCTGGAGGGCTTGTTGAAACATACATTTCTGGTCCTCACGCCTGAGTTTATGCATAGGAAACCTTCAGTAGTACCAAGAATTTTCATTTCTAACAAGTTCCCAGTTGATGTTGCTGCTGTTAGACCAGGAACTATTTTTTTTTCACTCTCTCTTTTATATCAGATTCATCAAAAACATGAATCACACAGATGTTCCTCCTCCTGGGATTGACAGACAATCCTGAACTGCAGCCATTCCTCTTTGGGCTGTTCCTGTCCATGTACCTGGTCATCATCCTGGGGAACCTGCTCATAATCCTGGCCATCAGCTCAGACCCCCACCTCCACACCCCCATGTAATTCTTCCTCTGCATCCTGTCTTTTACTGACATATGTATAAGAACAATGATGGCCCCCCAGATGCTAGTGAATATTAACAGAGAGAATCAGCACATTAGCTACACTGGCTGCATTACACAGATTGGCTTTGTCTTATTTTTTGTTCGTTTTGAAACTGCCTCCTTGCAGCAATGGCCTATGACCGCTATGTGGCCATCTGTCACCCCCTGAGGTACACGGTCATCATGACCCCCTGACTCTGTGTCCTCCTGATTCTTCTCTCTCTGCTCCTCAGCATGATGGATGCCCTGCTCCACAGTCTGATGGTGCTGAGGCTGTCCTCCTGCAGGGACCGGGAAATCCCCCACTTCTGTGAACATGCTCAGGTCATCAAGCTGGCCTGTTTTGATACCCTCATCAATAACTTCCTGATACATTTTGTAGGCAGCCTATTTGGGGGTGTTCCTGTATCTGGGATCATGTTTTCTTATACTAAAATTCTCTCTTCTATTTTGAGAATGCCCTCAGTGGAGGGTAAGTGTAAAGCCTTTTCCACCTGGGGGTCTCACCTCTCAGTTGTCTCCTTGTTTTATGGGACCGGATTTGGGGTGTACATTAGCTCTGCAGTTACTGACTTCCAGAAAGGCTGCAGTGGCATCAATGATGTACATCGTGGTTCCCCAGATGATGAACCCCTTCATCTACAGTCTGACAAACAGGGACATGAAGGGGGCCTTGAGGAAAATAATCAGTAGGATACCTCTGTCTTTAATGGGGTCACCTGTTTTGAACTTGTTTTTCTTGAATGAGCCAAAGTGACTGGATTCCTGGGTGGGCCAGATGCCTGTTTCTTCCACCACCGTGAGGCTCTAACATTATCAGATCACTCCATGGTCACGTGCATCTAAGCAATGTCTTGAGTTATGATGATACCTTTTGTTCAGCTCTAGGATGATTGAGAATGACCCCAGTTTTCTAAACACAGTTTCTTTGCTCTGGACCCATACAACCAAAGCTGAGTCAGGGGTTCTAGTTTAGTGATTTTTTTTTTTGTGGATTGCTTTCCAAACAAGGAAAAGTGTTGAAAGTGGATAGGATGGGGAAAGGATTGAAGGCAGGCTGCAGTCATTTCTAGAGACTAGCTTTTTTCTGATCTGTGGTTATGACTATGCCGTTTGCCTCCCAGATTTAGGCGTGCAGTGGGGCAAGGGAGCTAACCTTTCAAATCCCAATTTAGTACTCAGACTAGTCATCTGTAAAACATACCCTTCCAAGTCTACGTTAGCCTCCACTATACTAATTTTCATTAAATATAAAATTGATACAATTAGATTATCTGAGTGGTTTGAGATGATTGTGCGATATTTGAGATTCATCAGTGGGAAG